CTCCTCTCGTCCCCCGGCCTCTTCTCCTCTCGTCCCCCCGCCTCTGCTCCTCTCGTCCCCCCGCCTCAGCTCCTCTCTACCTGGGCAAGCACCACCACTGAGCACTTCTAGCTCAGGGTGAAAGTTCGGGAGATACTGTTTAATTTAAACCAAGTTAGACTATAATCAGCCACCCACCTCTTGTCAGCAACTACTGACTATGTCTGTGTGAAGATTATGGGAGCTGCTTTTGTTTCATGTTAGTTTCAAAAGATTTTTCTCTTCCAGATTTGATCAGTATGGACAGAGCTGAAGATCCCTCAGCTTCCCCTTCTGGTTATTATTATGAAGACCAGTGGAGGTCCAGAACACACTGGATCCATAATTTCAACAAATCAGATGAAATAACTGAATGCTTACAAGGAAAAGTAATCCACTTGTTTGGAGACTCCACAATAAGGCAGTGGTTTGAATATTTGACAGCTTTTGTTCCAGGTAATTTTTTTAAACTTGGCTTTGTTCTTTAAGACTTTGCAAGCTTTTTCTCTTATCCCAGAGCTGATTTTGCTGAGTGGCAGTAACAAAACAAAGGAAGAGGAAAGACARAACCTCATCAGAGGCCCTGGCAGTTAGTCAAATGTTTGAGCAGACACTGGAAACATGTAGGCCGTGTAAATGGGGCCACCAGATAACTGCAGAGTTGTCCTTGTAACAGAAYTGTTGCTGTGGCAACAGTGAGTTAAGGTGGCCACCCTGGGAGTCATGGCAGGAAGTCACTTGGATCGCCTCTAGGGCCTTGGAGCATCTCAGTCACAGAAGAGATTTTGGAATGAAGTAGCAAATTACCTCCATTACTGTTCCTAGGTTTTGGGGCCCTTTTTCTTATTTAAGTTACTCAAATAGCAGAATGTCAGTACCCACTTAAATATTCCTACTTCCCTTATCCCTCTCCCCTGAAGCACTTCACTTGTGTTGGAATACAGATTTTGAGCCCCCTTAATTCCTACAATTTAAAGTAATCTTTAAATGTAATGGAGTCCTAAAGTTGCTGGAAGGATTCTTGTAAACATTGGCTTCAGATGGCAACAGTGACTGTTTGGAAAATTTATTTTTTACAAGAGAGAAATAAATAGTTTGGGAAGCTTGAAAAAGGCATTGACAGCCTTATGAAGTCCAAATGTGCTGTCTTGCAAATTTCAACACTCATAAACTACACTCTGAAAGGTGATGCTCACCTTTTGTTCAGTTTTAGAGTTCTTATAACTATTAGTTCAGATTTCCTTGTCTTCTGCAACTTTTGCCCTGTGGCCTGAGCATCTTGTTGATTGAAGCTCTTGTGCCATCTTTCRCTAACGCTTGCTCTTGGGCTTCCAGATCTAGTGGAATTTAACCTGGGGAGCCCTAAGAAYGTGGGTCCTTTCATGTCTGTGGACCTGAAGCACAACATCCTGCTCAAGTTCCGCTGCCACGGGCCGCCCATCCGCTTCTCCACGGTGTTCAGCAGCGAGCTGCGCTACATCGCCAACGAGCTGGAYGGCATCGTGGGCGGCAGAAACACCGTCATAGCCATCACCATATGGTCCCACTTCAGCACCTTCCCCGTGGAAGTGTACATCCGCCGGCTCAGGAACATCCGCAGGGCGATTATTCAGCTGCTGGACCGCAGCCCCAAGACTGTCATCGTCATCAGAACCGCTAATGTTCAGGAGCTTGGGCCCGAAGTGAGCCTCTTCAACAGTGATTGGTATTCCTTTCAGCTTGATTCTGTCATGAGGAAAATGTTCTCAGGAATTGCTGTGCACTTTGTGGATGCTTGGGAGATGTCCGTGGCTCATTATTTGCCACATAACCTGCACCCTAATGGAATAATTGTTAAGAATCAAATAGATGCATTTTTATCCTATGTGTGCCCTCTGCAAACTTAGCGCAAATGGGTGTTCAAATGTCCGAAGTAAAGTTGCTCTTTTGAGCTATGGAATGATGCTGGATGATGTGGAGGAGCTCTGGGTGCTTGTACTTGCATGCAGTATTAAGTATGGAGGCCTTAACTCTGGACAGCTGTGAAGGGTGGTATAGAGGAGTTGACTRTTCAGGCCATATCTTCCTGCAAGGTCGATTCCTTCAAGATTAGCATTMATGCCTGGGATTATTAGAGAGCACCTTAAATAAAATTGACAGGATTCAAGAAGAAACTGTTTGGGTTATTAGCTTTACTAGTTGTCTGCACTGTACGCCTAATTTAATCCGTATGACACTGATTCTGTTGCCAGGGTCTTGTTGCTCAGAACTGTGGGGGAAACATGGGAAAGATTTTGGGAATGGTCTTTCTCTCAGCATTCCAGAGTTTGAGATGTCTCCTCTAGTTGTGTGTCAGAGAAACACAGTGTCTGTTCTTGTTTCAAAGTCCTAATTAGAAACATGAAGAGAGTGTACCAAAGTCACTAATAAAGAAGCACAATGACAATATCTGTAGAATTAAGTCATGAAGAATTTGCTGAAATTTAATAGGGAACACTAGTTAGGCACTTTTGTTGTTTACAGACGGCTGCTAAATAGTGCAGATAGCCAGTGTTTTAGTTTGGTTTCCTGTACTACTGAATTCATTTTGAGCTTTGATACACTGTCTACTTGTTGATTTATCAGTAATGAGGATTTGTATTTTATGACCTCAGTGAAAACACTGTCTCAGGCAGTTTCTGCAGGTTCAAGTTGCAAGCTTGCCTACTTGAAGCTTGAAGCATTTTCCAGTGAAATTTCCCTTTCCTGGGAGCTCAAGCTGTTCTGTTCTGCCCCTGGGCAGGTGGCAGCGACTCTGGTGTGTCCCTCACCAGACAGAGAGGCCGAGTGGCCTGAGGGGTGCAGTTTGGCTGTGATGGTCAAAGCCATGCAGTGAGTCTCCTTCAGGGTCTGGCAGCTCTGTCATTTATTCATGAACTTCACTGCTGCCAGTAGAAATGGTGGAAAGCCCTGCACCCAAAAGCCAAGGGTGCCTAGGGTTGCCCTCAACAGCTGCTTGGCACAGACCCAGCTTTGCTGGGGTGACAGCTGGTGGCTCTGCAGYCTCCTGGCCTGGCATTTACTGCTGCTTATTTKATTGAGCCTGTCTGCAATTTTAACTAGAAGTGCTTTGAAAACCATTTTGATTAAATTCAGCTCCCAAATTAAACAGCAGAGAAGTGATCCATGCTGTCTTATTTCTATCCCACTCAGGCCAAAGCCAGTCTTCTCTGGGAAATGTGTCAAAACAAAGTTGAATCTTTGTGAGCAAACTGAGAAGTTTRATAGGGAAAATTGGCAGGTTGTGTGGAGTGAAATAATTGAAATGTCTTTATGTTAGAGGTGTTTTACCCTTTGTCAGGTTTGCTGCTCTCTTAAGGAAGCTTGTGCTCGTATTGCCAAAGCCCCAAGAGAGCTAATGCTGCCAGCTACAGCAACAGTGCTTCTTGTTGTGTTCATTTTGAAGGGCAACTGAGAAGAAAAAACAAATAGAAATTATTTTAGCATGTAAAAGATGTCACTACCATCCATCTATAAACTTACGAATTTAAAAATGTTTAAAAAATGTCTGGAGGAATCATGTACACTGAAATAGCACCTATTCTTAGCTTTTCTAATCAGAATTAAAGAGGTCCATTTTGCTGGTTCCCACTGACAGCTGCCTCACATAGCATCTGYCCATAATTTAGCTTTAGGTAACTATTTCTCACTTTAATATGATAATGGCAAGTTATCCTCTGCTAAATAGAGGTCACACCAATTCAGGTCTGGGAAGGTAGACTACCACAGTGGAAAATGACCTTTCATCTTTTCCAGGTGTGAATTTTTAAAATAGGTGAAGACTTTCATCCTGTATAACAACTCTATCCTAATAATGCTAATGGAAATAGGACTTAAGACTTTTCMATTGAAGGAAATTACTTAATTTGTGGACTGCCCATTAGGTTTAACCCATAAAGCCATATTGTGTGTGCAAATGTGGCTGCATGTGTCTTCTCTGGGTCTTGTAGTGCTTGCCACTGCTCCTCAACAGCAGCTTTATGTCACTGTTAGCTACCAAGAACAGAGAGAGAAGAAAATATTCTTTTGAATGCTTTGAAAGTTGAGGAAAAGAGAACAGGACTGCTGTTAGCAATGGTGTCTAATTGCCTTCTAGTAAGAACCCCATCCTTTAGATTAATTAGATTAATTTTTTAATAAAAGATTAACTTATTGGTAATGAACTTCAGGGAAATTGCCAGTTGATTTGGAATGAGGATCAAGATTTCACTTCTTTGAGCTCTGAAATAGACAGGGAGGAGAAATGAAGAAACTGAGGATTTGCCCATGTTTGGGGTCACTGTGCTTTTTGATGTCATTCAGGTGATCTAGAAATGACTTTTCCTTTCTATTCTCATCTTGTTATCATTGCACCAGCTGTGTATGTACAGTATATGCAAACATAGAAGCAATAAAATACTTTAAAATAATTTTCTTTAAACTTCTAAATGGCTTTTAATAGGGACTTAGGTTAAGAAGTTGGTTATTTTTGAAGTTACTTAATGTGAAACAGAACTAGAAAGGAATTTCTCAGTTGTTTGTTAAATATCTTTCTTGACACACAAAAAATTAATGCACAAGATTTTTCAAAGTTCTATCTTCCTTTTCCTTCCATTTTCTTCATTTGCAAGGAAAAAATGGTATTATTTTTTATATTTTCATTCTTGTACTGAGTATTTTGATTACTTATCTTTCAATACAGTCTTTTTTTCCCTTTTAATTTATTCATTCAAAATCCTGCTCTGTCTGATTCCAGTGTACCAAATTCCATACTTTTGCTGAGTTTGTTAGAAGATTTCAGAGTAATTTATTTATAAARTAAGTAAACTCCATTTTATRTGTATTAGTGTTTCACTGTAATATTTTGAGAATCTTGTTTCTCATGTATATCTTAGTATGATTTCTTCCTTCTAGAAATTTAGTATAAATATTAGTTAAATTGTTGATGAAAAGAAAGGATAAAAAGCAAAAGTTACCCCTTTTTTAACTTTTCAGTTAGTTACTTTTAATTTCATCTGCAATTTGTCACTGCTTCATGAGATTTAAGTCACCATTTTTAATTGATTTACTTGTTAGTGGTAAGCAAATTAAAATGGGAACTTAACTTACCACTAGTATCTATAAACTTTTTTATGTACTACAGGTGACAATTTCATGTGTTCCTGACAAAARTGAAGGTTTGAACTTGTCTTCTGGRAGGGTGGAGGATATTGGKGTTTTGTTTTGGTTTTGTTGCAGAAGCTTGGGCTAAAAAATTCTTCCATTCATGACAGTTTAAATAACAGCAAAAAACTTCAGTYACAAATGTGTATTTCATTCACAAAGCACTTACTCCTTAAGTCCAGATCATTTCATGTATATTTAGASTGTTTGGAAGGCTCTTACTCTCTGTTGGGAGCAGTGAAGAACTCTATATCTGTATGTTAGGGAAAGAACTTGTTTCAAAGGACTTGTTTTTTTTTCTAAAACATGAATGTTGTTGTAATGCCAACAATATGCAGAAGGCTCTACTGTCTTATTTMCTGATGTGATAATAAAAACAATTTCAATAGCCAAAAAGTTCAAAGAATGAAGAGTTCCTAATAAAGAGGGCAAGCTTACTTGAACTGTTTAATCTGGTTTAGGCTCAGTTTGTCTTGTTTGCCATAACCCCACATCCTTTATATTTTTATAGCTGCATGGTAGTTCCCTTAGTTTTACTAATTACATTTTGTGCTGTGTGTTGGGTAGGAGTTTCACACTGTGATTTGTAGATTAAATTCACTCTTAGTGATTTTTTTTTGGTGTTTTGTATTTGGAGAGGACTGATCTGTGCCTGACATGAGACATAGCACTGAAGCACACTGATATTTCCCTGTGTTGGTGTATCGGGCCTGACACGTAATGGAAGCTTGTACATAACCTAGGCTTCCTTCTTTGGGAGCTTGTGCAGTCTGGCTATCCCACAGGAAAACCTTAAGCCACTTCATTTAAAAGAAGCAAGGTGAAGAGGAGAGGAGATGCAGCGTGGCCATTGCTTCTCTATCTTACGAACAGTTTTGTCATAAAGTAAAGGAAGAAAAATTAAGGAGAGAGATGTSCTGTGAGTCAGTGGGAGTGTTCAAGGGCTGTGGGACACCCTGTGCTGGTGGGCTGTGTGTCCACTGTCCCTTGAGCCCAAGGGTTGTGTTTGCAGGGTCCTGGGGAGAGGGGGAGAGAGGCTGGCACAGGCTGGGGAGTCTCCAGGATGGAGCAGTTGGGGGATGTCTCCTGGCTTGCCTTGGAGTGAGCTTGTAGCCAGGGCTCACAGCTGGGAAAACAGCAAGCAGGGTGCAATGCCCTTTGTGCGGATTTCTGACGTCTATGGCCAAAAATAGCATRTTTGGCCAGTAAAAATCCCTGAATGACAATTTCCTGCAGACTAGGAGAGAGTGCTGAGTCAGTAGTACCAAGAGTTCTGTTTTTCTGTTCCACTCTCATTCTGTGGTGATTCTGAAGGGGGCCAGGCTGTGATCTGGGGTGCTGCTCCCACATTCCCCCAAAGCACAGAGCTGGGATCAGGCTCCAGCCTGCTCTCACCAGTGTCACCTGAGAGAGGGGACAGGGCAAAGGCAGAGCAGTTCATTCCCAGCTCTTGGCTCTGCAGACTGCAGTGAAGCGTGCTGCCATTGTGTCCAGCCTACATCAGCCTTTGCTTAGCCAGAAATGAAAGAGGCTGCAAAGCATGAGCTGCTTTTCACTGTGGTGTGAGATCAGGCCCTGGGCCTYCTTGGAGGGGAAGTGAGAGTGAGGAATAGGACAGAGAGGGGAAGCAAAAAAGTAGTAGGATGCAATTAAGGAAAAACAACATGCCAAGGTCTTGTTCTGTGACACCAAGGAGAGGAGGAAGGTTGGGGATTTGGTCATGGGGAGATTTCCAAAGGCAATACCAACTGTGGGACAGACTCACTTGTCTCAGAAAGCACGCTGAATGTACATACAKGGATTGCTCCACATGTTTTAAAAAAGGAACAGTTCTTCCCACCCAGGCTGCTCACCCACCTCTTCCTCTACTCCCTCCTGACAGCGATGACACAGCAATCAAATGTTAGGAACTGTGCCAAACTCTGCTTACAATTGGTTTGAAGGTGTGTGTGTTGTGTTCTCACATGACTGTAGATGTGATAGATATCATAGCTGGGGAACTTTTGAAAAGAAACCCAAAGCACTTACAATCAAGATAAGGAGTGCACAGGCAGGTTTTCATCGTGTGCCAAGTGCTCCTCAGAGGCTGTGGTGACTCAGGGGAGGCATGTTACATGCCTGAGATGGCACGGGCTGCTTGGCAGGGCAGGGCTTGAGCCTTATGCTGTCAGATACAGGGACAGGAGGCTCAGCAGGGCCAGCAAAGAGCTGAAACAGCATGGGTTTGGATCTGGTTGGAATGGGGCTTCTGTGTTCATCCCATGGTTTAGCCCTTCCTCCCCAACAGGGTTTTAGGTAACTTKTAACATTAGTTTTCCTATTTACAGTTCAGGATGAAAATTTTTGAMACCAGGGAAATGTTTTATTATGTCCCTGAATCTGGACTTTCAAGTCTTCCTGAACTGTTGATTCACTGCAGTGCTTGTCACACAGATCTGAACTCTCATGKAAGGGAACCCAGCTTGTATCTGAGCAGTGACTTTCTAAAATCCTGTGCAAATTACCGTGTCCTTCTTTGCTGTTGGTGTTACTGTCCTCTTGTGGGCATATTCARTAGCCTTCTGTGGTGATTCAAACTGGTCTGCTCTGTGAGTCTGTCCTGGTGAATTGTACAGGGGCTTCTCTGCTTGGAAAAAGGAGGCTCAGGGGAGACCTTATCATTCTCCACAACTCCCTGAAAGGAGGCTGTAGCCGGGTGGGAGTTGGTCTCTTCTCCAGGCAATTAGCAACAGGACAAGATGATACAGCCTTAAGCTGCACCAGGGGAGGTTTAGGCTGGACATTAGAAAAGAATTCTTCACAGAATGGGCTGCCCAGGGAAGTGGTGGAGGCACCATTCCTGGAGGTGTTCAAGGAAAGACTGGAATGTGGCACTCTGTGCCCTGGTGTTAGGTCATAGGTTGGAGTTGATGATCTCAAAGGTCTTTTCCAGCCTTGCTGATTCTGTTACTCTGTGAAGGGGAAAAAGGGATTTTGTGGGGGAATGCTAGTGAATTAAGTGYATGAGTTACTTTCTGTGAGCCACAGATGAGGAGTGAGCACATCACTATAAGCGAAAGTGCAGCATGCCCTCCCCCACATCCTGACTCTAGCGTGGGCTTAATAGATTAATCCTTAATGAATGTGGCCAGAAGAGGGCTTTGAGGCACTGAAAAAGAGTTTGGGATGACAAATGARAAACATAAGCCACAACATATTCATCTTGGTGGTGGTTTGTTTTCTAACTCTTAAGTAATTTGTGTTTTGAAAACAAAGGTCACAAACACCACTG